CTACATTGTCTAAAGCGAATTATAGTAAAATAACCCAAGAAATACAAAAAGATATAGATAGATGGAATACTTTACCATTGGATTTGAACTCGAGAGTCGAAATTATCAAAATGAATGTGCAAGCGAAACTTCTATATCTGTTCCAGGCATTACCGATAGAGGTGAGTCAAACTCAATTTGATATCTGGGACAAGATAATATCAAGATTCATCTGGGGGGGCAAAAAACCAAGAGTTAAATATAAAACGTTACAGCTACCGAAAGACGAAGGGGGTTTGGGCCTACCAAGACTGAGAGAGTACTTCTGGGCAGCACAGCTCAGGCATGTGGTGTGTTGGTGCTCGCCGGACTACTCAACAAGGTGGAAAGACATGGAGAAAGAGTTTGGAGGATGTCCAATTCAGAGTGTTATTGGAGATGAAGATAGATATGAAAAGATCAAGAATTATAAAGATCCAATCGCTAATTTTACATTGGAAACATGGTTCAAAACATTGAAAAAACACAAAATAAAGAAAGAAATGAAAATACTTAGGTGGATAGCATACGACACGGATTTTAAACCATTAAAATATGATAAAGGATTCAAGCAATGGATAGGGAAAGGGATTACGGGATGGTATGCCCTCCAGGAAAATAATGAGCTGTTGAGCTTTCAACAAATGAAGGACAAGTATAATCTAGATAAACATGAGTTCCATAGGTATTTGCAAATGAGAGACTATTACAGGACAGACATCAAATGGGACACTAAGATGGAAAGGAATAGTGTGATTGGAGTGGTACTTAAATCTATTAATGGAACTAAAATGAAAACCATCTCTACACTATATCAAAAACTAATGAATAGGCATTCTACAAAGTATATTAAAGAGAAATGGGAATCAGAGTTTAATATGACAATTACGGATAAAGACTGGATAGATATGTGGAAAACACAACAGACATCTACTAATTCGCGGATATGGAGGGAGTTTGCATGGAAGAACCTTATACGTTTTTTCATCACGCCTAAAATCAAGAATAAATATAGTAATACAAGCGCAGAGTGTTGGAGAAAATGCGGATTGATGAATGCTGATCACTCGCACATATTTTGGAACTGTCCAAAAATTGTTGCATTCTGGAAAAATGTTTATGTATCTGTGAAGAGGATACTGGGGTATGATATCCCTATGAGTAGCATGGTATTCTATCTATGTAATTTTAATAATACCAAGATTACGGTAAAAGATAGATACCTGACTAAGATCCTGTTAATAGCGGATAAGAAAGCGATCACGAGGAAGTGGGGGAAAGAGGACCCCCCATGCCAAGAACATTGGACTGAAATTGTGGAAGAAATTTATATTATGGAAAAACTGACACACAGATTGAGACTGCAACAAGCACAAATGGAAAAAAAATGGACAAAATGGACTGTATTCAGGACAACAGAGAGCGACAAAAGTGGATAAAGGCCTTTGAAAATGAGAGACAATAAGGTAATAATGAGTACAAGCCCCCGAGCATCAGTTTTGGTTCCTTTTTATTTTGAGTAGAGGTGGATGTGTTGTGTTCAAGTTCACTGTAAATGTAAATAAATGTAAAAATTTCAATAAAAAGTTAAATGTTAAAAAAAAAAGAATGACGTATTCCACTTTACAGTCATGTTTTAGTTGTTTGCTCAATATCAAGATAATTTTTGAAGCTAGTAGAAAATAAAAAGCTTTGTTTTAATAAGAAAGGATCAAAACTAGGATTCTAATTGTGACTTTAAAGTTGAAATTATGACTTTGTATCTCATATGTTTTTAAAATCTCTATTGCACCTACAGTGCTAGTGAAATGGGGTTAAATGAGGTTGCTGAAAACTGAATTGTCCTTTTTTGGGGGGATAAATAAATAAAATTTGAATAATTATGACTGTAAATCACATAATTATAACTTTGAACGCTGAATTCTGACTTTACATCTCATGTTTATGACATACCATGTGACATTTTTTACTTACAATGAAATGGGCTTCCATAATTTATAGAATTTAAAAACATAATGCAATAGGATTAAACAGCAGATAGAATTTTATGAATGCAGGAAACGGGAACCTAAAACAATAACAGAGCCGTGTTATGTATGATGTGTTCAGCTAAAAAAATTTGGCTTTTTTTTTTAACATCGATTTATACCTTAAGACCGATGTCCTTACCTCCATGCCAGCGGCTCTGACTGCACCCTATCTTCCCAATGCAAGTCTTAATCAATCATAAACTACAACTGAAACAAGAATTTGGACAAAAATTTCACAATAGTGGCGGTTCCAGGAAATCTTCATAGAGGGCTCCTATTGTACTAAAAGCTCTGGCCCTGGGTTATTTTCTGTGGGTGCGGCCCCACACTTGCCCCCGGTTTGTAATCGGCGAATTTCTGTTCTTGCTAACGCAAATAAAACAGTTTTTTTTTTGGCGTGAATATCCATCCATCCATCCATCTTCCTCCGCTTATCCGGGGTCGGGTCGCGGGGGTAGCAGCTTCAGTAGGGAGGCCAAGACGTCCGTCTCCCCAGACACTTGGGCCAGCTCCTCCGGGGAATCCCAGGGCGCTCCCAGGCCAGCCAAGAAAAATAGTCCCTCCAGCATGTCCTGGGTCTCCCCCTGGGCCTCCTCCCGGTGGGACGTGCCTGGAACACCTTACCACGGAGACGTCAAGGAGGCATCCTAATCAGATGCCTAAACCACCTCAACTGGGTCCTCTCGATGTGAAGGAGCAGCTGCTCTACTCTGAGGCCCTGTCCACACAAAGTCAAAACGAACACGAAACGCTAATATTTTCCAGAACGTTTGTCGTAAAGACGGAGACCTAAAATAAATGTGATCGACCACATGAATGCATGAAAATGCTACAAAATGTTTGCCAGGCCTGTAAGTGGCGCTGTGGTGCCAAAGCAAAAATAGGCGAAAACAGGCAACGAAATGTTGGGCATGCGCAGTAATATTTATACAACAACCAAACCGGAAAATGGCCCTGCGGGTCCATTTTCGTGGTTCAGTCAAATTCAGGTGCTGAACTATGTCGTCGATATTGCTCTGTTCTTCCTGGAGATATTCCAGAAGAAGAAGATTCTGTTGTAAGCCCGGCAGCAGGGTGAGTAGCATGAGCAGCAACCATTCAACACAGTATGGCGCCATTGTTGTTGTGATATTGTGTCGCGCATGTGTGTTTAGAGGCGATGCTATGACGCATGCGTGTAAGAAAAAAAATGTGGTTAGAGCTTAAAGATGGAAACGCGAAAACGGCGTTTCAAAATCTTCCCACTCTGAAGGCTTAATAAAAAAAAGATTGTTTACAGACCCCGAAACGCCGGCTTCATATGGATGAGAGGCTGGTTTGGTGAAAAATGTGTGCGTTTAGGCCAGGGTTTGACTTCGTGTGGACGGGGCCTGAGTCCTCCCCGGATGACTGAGCTCCTTACCCTATCTCTAAGGGAGAGCCCAGACACACTAGAGAGAAAACTCATTTCAGCTGCTTGTATCCGGGATCTCATTCTTTCGGCCATGATGCAAAGCTCATGACCATAGATGAGGGTAGGGACATAGATCCATCGGTAAATCGAGAACTTTCCTTTTTGGCTCAGCTCTCTTCACCAAAACAGACCAGTACAGTGCCCGCTTCACAGCAGACAACGCACCAATCCGCCTATCGATCTCCCGCTCCATTTTCTCCTCAATCGTGAACAAGACCCCAAGATACTTAAACTCGTCCACTAGGGGCAGTACATCCTCTCCAACCCGGAGAAGGCACTCTACCGTTTTCCAGCTCAAGACCATGGTCTTGGATTGGTCTTGGATTTGGAGGCACTGATCCTCATCCCAGATGGTTCACACTCGGCTGCGAACCGCTCCAGTGAGAGCTGTAGATCACGCCCTGATAAATCAATAGAACCACATCATCTGCGAATAAGGCCAACAAAACAGATCTGCTCAACACTTTGGCTGCACCTAGAAATTCTGTCCATAAAAGTTAGGAGCAGAATCGGTGACATTTTGGCATGAAATATTTAACTTATTTAGAATTGTGAAAAAGACTGCTTTAGGGAGGTCTAAACTGATATTAACCATTTCGTAACTGAAACACAAACACACACTGAGGCAATAAAATTTCCACATCTTTGTTACAAACATAGGAAATAATAAACTTTAAAGTAGCATATATTATATTGTTTTCTTTCCTATATTTAGGCACAAAGGACTGGTGGATTGATCTAGGATTGGTCAGTCAATCAGAATTGAGCTACTCGAACTTGGCAAGTGTATGAGAATTGAATGAGCATGAAATGGGGAAATATAAGTGAGAAATGTCATGTGTGGCATGAAAATGGGTGAAATTGTGTGACTGTTACACTCAATGCGTTAAACTTGGCAGCCCTGGTTTATTTGTTGCTTTTTCTCCCTTTAGTGTATCATTTCGGTGTAAAAAGGAGGGCGATGGATGGGACAGTGAAGCTTTGAATAGCTTCCAAAACAAGAGCCACTGCACAAGAGAGTGAGGGTGGTGTGAATGGGGACTGGTTTTAGGGATTATGTCTAATATAGAAATAGGAGGCAGTGAAAAGAAGTAATAATAAAACACACAAATTACACTTAAGCACCAAACTGCACAATTTAAATCACATACGGTTCAAAATTCTAATTACTCCCAAGTTTCAGGCTGCTTCTCCCAGGAGGAACGTTCATACTCCCTTTATGTGGCGTATCCTGTGAGCTTTTTCAGACACACAACAATTCACTGCCACTTTAGTTCTGAGTGTATGTGCACCAGTTACCATAGCAACAACAGGCATGAATGCTCAGGATTTAGGGACGCTGAAAGAGGGGAAGCTTCAGGGTGCCTCAATGACTTTTTTGTGGGTTTTCTTGCATTTTATGTTCTTTCCTTTCAAAGAAAAGAAAAATTCCTGCTCTCAGGCTGTGTTTTTCTATTTTATTTTATTTATTGTTCCCCCCGTTGTTTGTATCTTACCAGGAGACACTACATACCTTGACATCTTCAGGGAATTTTCCCACATGGCCTCCAACAACCCGGAGAAGCTGAAGCGTAGGAGTTTGCATTTCCGACACTCGTTCAGGTAGTCGACTGGATATCTGGAGGGGAAAAGTGGCTCCGCTTCACGCTTATAAGAGACCTACAAGAAACCTGGAGCACCTCCAGTTCATCAGTCTACCACTTCCTGTTCCTGTTAAAATGGTGATAAGCTGTTAGGATAGATTGAATGTGTCTCAGAGGAACTTTTATTTTGGTAGGGCAATATTCTTTTGAGGAACTGCTGGTCTTTTCCTCTTGAATATGAATTTAGAAACCCACTTTCCCTTAAATGTTGATGAGCACTTATTCTGGCTGTGGTCATATATATATAAAAAACCATTTCTGTCATGTTGGTGATTGAAGGAATTTCATTATTACCGTATATTTTCTCTGTATGCATGCATTACATTTCATATTTTAAACTTACATTCAAATACAGCTGATAAGTTTTACGTTAACCATCCGTATTATACAGTTGCAGTGATGTTTCTTTGAATGTGCAGCCTATTTTGATAAGAAACGTGTTTTATTTTGCATCGACTACGCTGGTCTAGTCCTTCTCTTTGAATGTACTTTGCTTCACCACTATGAGATGAGGTCTTAACGTCCTGTATGCATGCTGGAGAAGTGAAATAAAGTGTTAATATATCAAGAGAAATGAATGAAAATAAATGTGTTTTAAGTTGTGATGCTTCCCAGTGGTTTAAACAACAGCGCCTCATAGTGGAAATACGGGGCATTACCAAAAGATTTAAATAATTTCATAGCAATGGATTTTACATCTCATCATTAGACAATGCTTTACAGAAGACTCAGGAAATTGAGGTGAAGTGAGTTGTGTGCAAAGCATTAATAACCAACGTGAATCCCTATTGGAACCAACGTTTTGCTGGTTTCTTGCTTTGTAACATTCAGATTGTTTGGCACCATAATGTGTAGATGGAAAAAGATTCACAGTAATTGTCAGTAAGCAATTGTTGCTGTTAGATCAGAAGGTTTTTATAGGACAGTATTTACAGTATGTTTGGTTAATCTTTTCAGAAAGTGAAGCTAATTTAAAACCTTTATTTCTTGTATTTGATGACATACAGATAATGAAAAAAAAATGCATCTGGATATTTTTAAAAAGGTAAAACATCAGAAAGTTATGGTGTCACACAATGATTAACTGATTAACTGAAAAACACCTGCAAATGTTTCCTAATTTTTTTCTAAAAACACAGTTGTATCTAAAAGAGAAAAGGAAGGTGTGGAAGGAAATGGTGCACCACCATGGGCGTAATTTCAGGGGCGATGGGGGGGGGGGACATGTCCCTTGCACTTTTTCATACATCCGTTTTGGTCCCCTACAAGTTTTACTGTCCAAAAACAATATTACGCTACAGTACATAGACATTCGTCGAGCACTAGGACCAAGCGGAAAATCGCAGCTCAAACTGAAGCCCGCTTCCCTGCGTTTAGACCGCCCACAAGCTCCTGATTGGCCCACCGCCTTGTGTGATTGACTGTAACGGCTGTCACTCCTGAGGAGCTGATTTTATAAAGAGCTGATGTGCCACTGGATCAGGTCTGTGATTGGATGATCTCACACACACTGAAGTTAGTTACCGGTATATTAAACAATACTTGCATCCCAATTCTGAAATTAAGATTTTATCCATGTGCATCTTAGTGGAAATGGATTTTTAAGCAAAATCAACAAAAATCAGGGGGAGCAGCAAGGATTCTACTAAAGCTTGCATGAGGACGTCAAGAGCCTCCATGAACAGACAGTTCGACTAAAAGGGTAGAAAAGTTTGCACTTCCTGTGGCGGGCATCTTTTGAAAAAGAGGCAACATCAGAAGTATATTATGTTTTATTTGGAAATTAAGGACCCAAAGGGTCACCACTGATAAAAAAAAAAAAATTAAATCTGTCCATAACTTTTCACGTTATCCCTGTACATAGACAGACAGGCAAACACAGACAACTCCCCTAAAAACATAACCTCATTGGTGGAGGTAACAACTCAGTCATCTTATTTCAAGTGCATTTGGCAAATTATTTTAAGGGCAAAAATATTCATTCCATTGACAGGTTAATGTATTTAATTTTAAGGGCAGACACAGTAACTGTAGATATTTTTACTTATCTTTAGATCAGTGTTGGTGCTGCAGGCTCGTCCCTTATGCCAATCTGCATTGATGAAGAATTCATAATGAAAGGAGATTAAAGCAACTATAAAGTGCATAGAGATATTTTCCATTGAAATACTGACATTTCTGTTAAAGATATATTTTCTTTAACTGAGTTTCTGCAATTTTGGAATTTTCAGTCTTTTTCATCAAAATTACAAAAGCTAACTTTATATATTGGCTATACTTAAATTGGTGATGAAAATAGAAAATTCCATCACAATGATCTAATCTTGTGCTATGCTTTTATTTCAAGTTCCAGGGCTAAATTCTTATCTATTTAGACTATTTAATATCCTGCTCTGTGAAATCCAAAAGAAAAAAACAAACAAAAAAACAATAATGGAATCAACATTCCTTTGATTGAATATTAAAGTTTATTAAGAGACAACAGAGAAAGACTTTATTGACAAGATTTATGTTTCTTTAATAATCATGTATCGATTCGCTCACAAGACTGTCACTGATAAAAAGAAAGCATGCAGTGAGAAAACATAGGATATATGGTGGCAAAATACCAAAAAAAAAATCCACTGGACTTTGTTTCAAAGTTTAAAGATGTTTCGCTTCCCATCCTGGAAGATTTTTCAAATCAAAATGTCAGAAACAGCATCGAGTTTGAGGCTTCTTAGAGCCCAAAGGGGCGGACCCATTCATCTGGTTCAATTTGCATGTTTTCTACGCCAAAACAAGGCTTTGTTTTTGATCCACTCTATATAAAACCTTAATCTCAACGCTATTTGTGACATTTTGAATTGAAAAAGCTTCCTGGACGGGATGCAAAAAGTCTTCAAACTTTGAAACAATATCCAGTGGATTGTTTTTTCACTTTTTATGGAATGACTATGACTTGGATGACTAAGAATCTTCACCAGCATTTGTTCACAAATTAATTACATAATTCAAATAAAAACACAAAACTATTTTTTTATAACACAATTTCATTTGGGAATATGTTTTTCTCCTATTCAGAAATCTTAATTTGAACATAAAGATTGCAATTTAAATAACACAAACAAACTCTACAACATGGAAGCTAATTGGATCATCTTCCAAGTCCGTAGATAAATGGAGATAAAACTAGAAAGAAAGTTTTAATTTCCCAATTTTTAGCAAAAAATATATGTAAATTCAGGTTATATCCCTTAGGTCATTTTTTTCTCGTATTCAAGTCATTATTGGACTTGGATTTAAAATTTTCAAACTTTTTCTCTTTAACTTCAGGATAAAGGTCTATGTCACGTGAAAGAATTTTGTTGTGAATACAGAGGCGTAGCCAGAACATTTTGAAGACTCCTAGCTGACTTGCAGAGACATAATTTTCTCTTTACCCCATAAAACACAAAATCTAGTTCTGAAAAGAGCATGAATTCTGTATTTACCACCTTTAATACTTGTATATTAATGTGCATAATCAACCACAGTGGTTTTGTTGTCAAGTAACTGTTAATATATGAAGATTTTTTTAAATTTTGAATATCCCACTTGAATATTCCATTATTACTGCTGCCACCATCTGTATTAGAGGGGGGGGAATTGTAGTGGTGGCAAATGATTGGCTGCCCACCATCTAGCTCCGCCCCTGTGTGAATATGGTATTTTAAAAGATAAATTTTTGTTTTTTAACACAGCCGTGAACTTACACTCGAATTTCTGAAACCCTTAAAAGCTTTTATGGATGTTATTTATTGAGTTTATACATTATATCAATACGTATATAAAATATGTTATTAAATATCATTAACTGGGGGAGAGAGGAGGAAGCTAAATGTTTTTAATAGACGATCTTTGGTGATTTTACTCCATACTCGGCAATGAAGCCCATGCGTGAAGGAGTGACTGGTCCATCATAAATAGACGAGCTTGGGTTTCATTCAGTTTGCGTTTGCTAGTCCTCAGGACTGGAAGCAGGCCGACAGCTCGTGAAGATGGAGCTCGGTCCAGACTCTGCTACCCGTCTTGTAGACATATGACATCTGCAGTGTAACGGTGCGGGTTCCGCGCGCTCGGGGCATGAAGCGCCTGTGGACTGGGCTCGGACATGCTTGTAGCCGGCTGCTATTAGCTTAGCTCCTGCTTCTCTCGCTGCAGGAACAACGTCTGGCTGCTGGAGGCTCAGCTGATCCGCTGCAGAGAGACTGGATGATGCTGAGGCCTTAACTGTCAGTTCGGTGACGCTGCGCTCGCTCAACAAAATCAGCTGATGTCATCCATTGCTGGTACTTTATTTTTATTCTGATTCAGCAGACAGAGGAGGCTTTATTTGCTGTGGATTCATGTGATGTTGAACTTGATCCAGGTTTTGATGTGTTTGTCTTGTCTTTGTCAGGGGCGGAGCTAGATGGGGGGACCAGGGGTGGCCATGGCCACCCCTACCATTTATTTCCCTCTAATACAGATGGTGGCATCAGTAATACTCTCAAGTGGATAATTCAAAATCTTTTTATTTTTCATATATTAACAATTACTTGACGACAAAACCATTGTGGTATATTATGCACATCAATATAGTAACATTAAAGATGATGAGTACAGAATTAATGCTCTTTTCAGAACTAGATTTTGTGTTTTATGGGATCAAGAGGAAATTATGTGTCTCTGCAAGTCATCTAGGAATCTTAGGTGAAATCATAGATTAACAACAATTTTAATAAAACATATTAAATAATCATTTTATGTAGATATTAGTACTTGTTAATGTCAATTCTATGCAGAATGATTACTGATAAAAGTAGTTATAAATGACAACGGAAAAGATGTTCGCCCAAAACTCAAACTGAAAAGAATTTTATCCACTATACCTTTTATCTAGAAAGATGTTTGAATATATTCATCTATTTGTTAGCAAAGGCTGTGGGAAAGTATAGTTTGTTTTTATTTAGAAAATATGGATTTTTTGCTGGTTCATTTTTTGGTGCCTATCTAATTTTGCCCACCCCTCAGTGGCTATTGCCTGGCCACCCTTATAAAAATTTTCTGGCTACGCCTCTGGTCTTTGTTTGGAGCTTTTCATAAGTACTTGAATTTGGTTGCATTAACTGTCGTGAAAAAAATTGGAACTTTTAGTGTTTTGTTGTTTTTTTAAATATTATTTTGTATTTCGCATTAATAGCATCAGCATCAATACAGGTGCTGGTCATAAAATTAGAATATCATGAAAAAGTAGATTGATTTCAGTAATTCCATTTAAAAAGTGAAACTTGTATATTATATTCATACATTACATACAAACTCATATATTTCAGATGTTTATTTTGTTTAATTTTGATGATTACAAATGACAACAAATGAAAATCTCAAATTCATCATATCAGAAAATTAGAATATTACTGAAGACCAATAAAAACAAAGGATTTATAGAAATGTTGGCCAACTGAAAAGTATGAACATGAAAAGTATGAGCATGTACAGCACTCAGTATTTAGTTGGGCCTCCTTTGGCCTGTATTACTGCAGCAATGCGGCGTGGCATGGAGTCGATCAGTCTGTGGCAC